ATAATGAATAACTAAAAATAATAAATAAATAAATAAATGATACAAATAAAATAAGAATAAAATATAAAATATCACTCTGGATTTTCAGGGTTATTGATCAGCAAATTAAGGTCCAATCCGCATTCCGGTGACAGTATCAATTGTTTAAATAAATCAAATGGTGAGGGAAAATATTTACATATTACAACTTGGAATAAACATAAGAGAAATAGTAATATAAATCAGGAATTAGAAGATAATCCTGATTCTGATTCTGGAATTACTTCAAATTCTGATGCAAGTTCTTCAATGTCTGGAATAGAAACTGATGATATTGATGGTATTATAGAGAAAAAAATTATTTTATTAATTTATTTTTTTTTTAGTAATATTAACAACCAACTTGATTTTGATGGTTTTTTGACTTTTTAAAAGTTGAGGATAATAATGAAACAAATGAAACAGGAATTAATAATGATGGTATTTGGAGGAGAAAGAATTTGCTAATATATTTATCTGTTAATAATAATTTGATTTTATGTCTTTCAAAAGATAATTTAGATGATAATGATCTTGGTTCTAATGGCAATTCTAGTGATTCTAGTGATTCTAATGATGATTGTGATTCAGAAGAAGATGATGGTGAAGATGAATGTAATTTTAACAAAAAGCAAATTTGACTCCATAAATAATTTATTCATTATATTAACATTTGTTTTTTTATGTAAAATAATATTAGATGAAGATAAACTTTCCAAAGAAAATCTTTTGACTGGGTTGAATTTACTTTACTTGAAGACAATACATAATTTTTTAAATCAAGCTTTCAATGACATCTCTTCTAAAATCATTAAGAAAAAAATTAGTCTGTTCAAGGCTAAAAAAGAATTGGATAAATTGGTGCCTATCAAGCCTAAATATTATGATATGTGTATTAATAGTTGTTGTCTCTTTTATGGAAAATACAATTCAGATCATGCATGTCCTATTTGTGATGAACCTAGATATATAAATAAAAAAGGAAGAAAACACATGCCCTACTTATCATTAATTGAGAGGTTGAAAATTCAATTCAATAATAAGGAAAGAGTAAAAGATTTGCTGTATCGTTGGGAATATACCTCAACAAACAGTGATAATGATGATGAAATCTTTGGTGATGTTTTTGATGGAAATATGTACAAAGAACTATGTGAAGAAGGATTTTTTGAAGATAGAAGGGAGTTGGCATTGACAGTTTCTTGTGATGGTTATCAAATCTTCCAACAAAAAACAGATGATAATTGGGTCTTTTTAGTAATAAATAACAATCTTGCACCAGAAGTAAGGGTGAAAAAAGAAAATTTAATAATAAGTTTTATTATACCAGGTCCCAATCAACCAAAAGATTTCAATTCATTTCTACAACCATTTATTGAAGAAATGAAAATTCTACAAGGTTAAATTTTTTAATTTCATTAATTTGAATTCTTTTTTTTTGTATTTAATATGAATTTTAAGAGTTAAAATTAATTTATTATAATTATTTCATAGATGGAATAGAATGCTATGATGCTTTGAATGATGAGTTGTTTCAATTAAAAGCTCACATCTTGGCTTGGACAGGAGATATACCTGCTGTAACAAAAGTTATGTGTTTCACAGGACATAATTCTTATCAGGGGTGTAGATTTTGCAAGATTGAAGGAAAATTGCTGACAAGTAATCGACATATATATTATCCTTTACAAAACCATTCTACATCAAATCTTCCTCTTCGGGGCCATGAAGAAATTTTAAAAAATATTGATGAAATTAATGGTTGTGGATCAAATAACCTCAAAGAGTCATTAATAAAAAAATATGGTAATTTCATTTTATTTAAATTTTTTATCTATTTGTATCTATTCTTAAATTTTTTTAATTGTTTTATCACATTATATAAATACCATTTTAATAGGGGTTAAAGAAAAGAGCATTTTATTTGAATTGAAATCTATAAGGTTTCCAAGATCTTTTCCACTTGACATTATGCATTTATTTTTTGAAAATATGGCACAAATTTTGGTCTGGAAATTTTTATAAGAATGTTGATTTAGATGAAAATTATTTAATTGGCAAAAAAGATTGGAAAGAAATTGGTACTATTCTACATAATAACAAGTATAATATGCCCAGTAATGGAAGAATACCAAGAGATATATATAAACATTCAGCTGGTTATAAAGCTGAAGAGTGGTCTAAATGGATATTGCATTTTTCATTGCCATTAATTAAAGGTAGAATTGATGAAAGGTAATTATGATGATATTTATAAATTTTTAATTATATATATATACTAATGAAAAATAAAGATTTTTGCAAGGATGGAATTATTTTGTAAAGGCAGCAAAGTTATGTATAGAACCACAACTTGAAGGAGATGAGCCAAACTTGATTAAGGAGAATTTGGAAAATTTTTATTTAAGTTATATTGAGTAAAAATAAAAATTTTTGATTATTAAATATTATTTAATTTTAGTAATTATAATGAAGATGGTAACCAAGAAAGATTAAGAATACATTTGTTAACATTTCATTACTTACTACATATAAGCAAGTGTATAGATGATTTTGGACCATGTTGTGGCTATTGGCAATATCCAATTGAAAGGCTTTGTGGGATGTTGTTACCATTAACAAAATCCAAAAAGGACCCATACAAAAATTTATTTAATAATATTACTTTATTGGAACAATTCAATTTAATTAAATTTTTCCCTCAATATAGTACAATTTTTGAAGAATCTGTAGAGGAAAATAGGGGTTGGCCTTCCCATAGAGTATATGTTAATAACAATTATGAAGGTTATGAATTCTATTCACCAAGTGTGAAGCATTCATTAAATAATAGTGAAGCAAATAAGTTAAAGGAATGTTATGGTGCCATTTATAATTTAAATAATCAATATATAAAGGTAATCATTTGATTCAAATTCAGTTCCTTATGTTCAAGCACAATAATTAATTTCCTCAATTAATTTTATGACCTAGAATATTTCTCCTGATTGTCATAAGTATGCAAAAATGATGAACAAATATGGCCATATCATAAAATCTATATACTGTATAATGAAGATAAGAAGGAAAAAAGAAAAAATAATTATCTGGTTGCAGTATGTAATAATTTTTGTTAAATAATTAATTTTAATATCAAATGTAAAATGCATTCTAATATTTTTTTTCTTCGATTAGATTAATATGACTATTGATTTAAATGCTAGAAGAAAAAATGCACCTCAAGATTTAAAAGAAGTAATTAAATTTGGAAAAATTTTATATTATATTATTCATAATTATAATGGAAAAGACCATATGCTAGCACTAGTTCACTTCACTACTGATGTCATAACAGATGAATATGGTCTAAAATATTTTGAAGATTATGGCTCGAATAAATTTATAGAAATAATTGGAATTGACCATTGTGTAGGATTTTTATCTTTTAGACCACCAAATAGAAAAACTGAAATTAATTGTATAATTGATGATGATGATATAGACTTTTAAATAAAATCAATGCTGTATGCTCTTGTAATAAGAAATTTTCCATGTAAAACTGTACATTTTGGAATGGAAAATTCCCAAAATTTTCTGGTATAAAACCATACATTTTCCATACAGAAATTTTCCAGTACAAAACCATACATTTTCCATACAGAAAATTTTCCTTACATTTTCCGTACATTTTCCATATCCAAAAAATCTTAAAACATGGAATTTGTATGGAATTTCAGAAAATGTATGGAAAATGTACAGAATTTCTGTGCTTATTTTTCATAGGGCTAAGATACTTATATATTATTAATAATATTTTTTTTTTTCATACATGAATAATATCGAAGTTCAAATAGATAGTCTCAGTTATCCAATCCACATATCCAGTAACCGATCATGTTTTTTACTTATATTCCATGTACGTCTCAATACCATGAACCACATAACTGCGATAATTAATAGAACAAGAAAAATATATGCCGATAGAGGTGACATCAACATGCTTGTCATAACAGGGAGAGGCAGAGCCTCGAGACTAGGTCTCATCGCTCCTATTGGGATTTGAGGCATGACCTCTGATGCATTGGGTTTTATCAATATATCTAGCATATTATCTTTGTTAATTTCGCTAATGCTAGTTTCATCACTTATCTTGGGGTCGATCTTGGTATCATTTTTTGGTAGTTCGGTAATCTCACCATCGATTTTTTCCATTGGATCCATCTTTTTTCTGCATAGAAAATATTGACTAAGATCTTTACTAGATTCAATAACTGCAGATATATCATCAGACTTGATCATATTTTTTTCATCATTTCCACCAAGTATGGGGTTTGATATAGTCTCCGATTTCAGACACTCAAGTTCACTGACTTTCGAAGCTAACTCATGTTCTACTTCAGCTATTTTGGATTTGAGAAATTTTGACATTGTTTGCAGATTCTAAACCTGCTGCAATAGCAGCATTGGTATGATCATCAGTATTAGTAGGTGTAGATCTAGCATTAGTGTTAGTGATATTCAATAATATTGTTAGTGTATTTTCCTGCAAACTTAATAGTCTATTATTCATGTTGGATATGTCTCTAACTAATTCTCTATTTTGAGTTGTAGTATCCATTAACATGGTCATAAAATCATCCATTATTCTGTTAATGCTATTATTTTCATTACTATTATCTTCACCATTATTATTATTTAATTGCATTTTGTATATAATATGTGAGAGAGTTTGCTTGTTGATGATTGAATATTAAATGATCAATTACTATTATTATTATTAGTTATTATTTTTATTAGTTATTATTGTTGTTGTTATTGTTAATTATTATTAATTATTATTATTTACATTACCTTGTAACAATTTTAAATATTATGAATATATATCTTGCGTTGTTGTTTTTTAAAGTTTCTTTTTAAAAATAATGAATGATTTCTATGTTGATGGTTAATGATTTTAAATATTAT